CAACCACCATTGCTTTCAGACTGAAACACTTCTGTCCTAAAGCTTCACACAGCTGTTGTTTTACAAATTAGTATTATTTACAATAATCCATATGTCCTAATTTACATCATTTTTAACAAAGTAAATTTCGGGCATCTTTTCATATCAAAACATTTACCTTTACCACAGTCTTTCTGTTTGGTAGCTTTTGCTATATGAGAAATTTCAAATGTATGAAAAAGTAGACCCAACAGGCAAAAGTCCCTCAGGTCCACCCCCTTCAGGACAATTACCTTCAACAATTATCAACCATGTGGTTGCCTGTTTCACCTCTACCCCACCCTCTCCTCTCACTCCCCTACCCCGGAATTATCTTGATGCCAATCCCGCCTGACATAACCATTTCATCTGTGAACATTCCAGTGTGGATCTCAAAAGATTTCTCCTTCTTCTTCCTCTTCTTCTTCTTCTTCTTCAAGATTTTTTATTCATTTATTTAACAGAGAGAGAGAGCACAGCAGGGGGAGCAGCAGGCAGAGGGAGAGGGAGAAGCAGGCTTTCCTCTGAGCAGGGAGCCCAATTTGGGCCTTGATCCCAGGACCCCCAGGGATCACGACATGAGCTGAAGGCAGATGCTTAACAAGTGAGCCATCCAGGCGCCCCTCAAAAAGATTTCTTCTTGGGCGCTTGGGTGGCTCAGTGGGTTAAGCCGCTGCCTTCGGCTCAGGTCATGATCTCAGGGTCCTGGGATCGAGTCCCACATCGGGCTCTCTGCTCAGCAGGGAGCCTGCTTCCCTCTCTCTCTCTCTGCCTGCTTCTCTGTCTACTTGTGATCTCTCTCTGTCAAATAAATAAATAAAATCTTTAAAAAAAAAAAAAAAAGATTTCTTCTTAAAAATGTGACCACACAGGGGCGCCTGGGTGGCTCAGTGGGTTAAAGCCTCTGCCTTTGGCTCAGGTCATGATCCCAGGGTCCTGGGATTGAGCCCCGCATCAGGCTCTCTGCTCAGCACTCTCTCTGCCTGCTTCTCTGTGATCTCCATCTGTCAAATAAATAAATAAAATCTTAAAAAAAAAAAGTGACAAAAATGTGACCATACATAGCAGCATTATTTACAATAGCCAAATTTTGGAAGCAGCCCAAATGTCCACATACTGATGAATGGATAAAGAAGATGTGGCGTGTATACACAGAGCAATATTATTCAGCCATAAACAAAGAATGAAATCTTGTCATTTGCGACAACGTGGATGGAGCTAGAGAGTATAATTCTAAGGGAAATAAATCAGAGAAAGACAAATACCATATGATTTCACTCATTTATGGAATTTAAGAAACAAAACAAACAAACAAAGGAAACAAAGAGGCAAACCAAGAAACAGACTCTTAACCATAGAGAACAAACTGATGGTTATCAGAGGGGAGGTTAGTGGGGGATGGGTGAAACAGGTGATGGGGATTAAGGAGAGCACTTGTCGTGATGAGCCCTGGGTGGTGTATAGAAGTGCTGAGTCACTATTTTGTACAGCTGACATTAATGTTAACACACTGTTGACTGTTAACTATATTGGAATTAAAATAAATTAATTTTAATACTATAATACTATATTAAAATTATATATGTGATAATATAATAATACAATAATTAATTAAAAAACTACAACAATAAAACCCGTGACCACAGACTGTTATCACACACACACACAAGGTGCAAACTGAAACTCAACAATGTATTTGTACCATCAAGTATTCAGGACTATTCAAATTTCCCTAAGTGTTCCATGAGTGCACTCTTTGCAATTCATTGATATCCGAGTCTGTCTTTTTCTTATGGCACAAGAGAGAATTTTTAGTTTTATTTATTTATTTATTTATTTTAAAATTAACACACTTTTTTTTTTGGAACAGAGAGATAGGGAGAGAGGGAACACAAGCAGGGGAAGTGGCAGAGGGAGAGGGAGAAGCAGGCTCCCAGCTGAGCAGGAAGCTGGAAGTGAGGCTCAATCCCAGGACCCTGGGATCATGACCTGAACCGAAGCAGATGCTTAACTGCTTAACCGACTGAGCCTCCCAGGCGTCCCAAAAGAGAATTCAAAAAATTTCTTAAAAACATTTTATTTATTTATTTGAGAGAGAGACAGAGGTAGAGAGAGAGTAGGAACAGGGAGGAGAGGGAGAAACAGGCTCCCCCTGAGCAGGGATGCCGACGAAGGGATGGGTCCCAGCACCTTGGGATCATGATCCAAGTGGAAGGCAGATATCTAACTGATTGAATCACCCAGGTACCCCTAAGAATTTTTTAAAGGAAGCCCTACTCCCAACATGCAGCTTGAACTCAACACACGACCCCAAAGTCAAGATTCTCATGCTCCATTGACTGAGCCAGCCAGGCGCCCCACAAAAGAGAGTATTGATTCTTGTTGCCCTTCTACATTTTAAAAAATTTTTATTTTCTTATCTTTTTATTTTCCTGAACTTGTTGTAGGGAATGGGTTCCAATCTGTTGTTATTTTATTTGCTCTGCTGTGTTGCGTACGTGTCACCTAGCATAGGCTTGTCTGTTTAGTCACATATTAAAATAATATTACTTTGTATTAAATTACTTTCCTTTTCTCTATCTTACTGCTAAGACTAATTACTTGTTTTTGGAACTCATATGTAGGTGGGCATATTCTCTAGGAATTTCATTTCCAAGTAGTAGAAGGACAAAGAACAAAGCTACACAAAGTGGGAGCTGGGAACCACCACCCTGGACAAGCCCCTAAGCACTTGGGAGGTTTGAAGGAGTCATTCAACAAGGACCAAAGGGCGTGGGACTGAGAAAGCAAGAAGGAAGAATGGTAACAAGCTTGCTTCTGTACCCTTCTGGCCACCAGGCCCAGCCTGATGCCACCTCTGGGACATACCCAGGAAAATACATGTCAATCCGACCCTGTGTTTTGTGGCCCGAAAATACTGTTCACCTTTGGATTCTAGGGAAAGAGTGGGACAGTGAAGTGGGTGCCTGAGTGGGTGAGGGGGCCCGAATTCTCTCCTAGGGTGGGGACAGCTGGACTGGCACCCCAAGATGCTCAGGGGAGAGAAAGAGGTGGAAGGGGCAGATCCCAGAGTTTCTGCTAAGGCAGAAGGGGGACATTCCAGCTTGGAAAAGCACAGATCTGTCACTCTGTAGTACTTATTCAAATGAATAAATAAAAATATTTATTTTTTATCTTTTTATTATTTTAAAAAAGATTTTATCTATTTGTCAGAGAGAGAGAGTGAGCACAAGCAGGGGGAACAGCAGGCAGAGGGAGAAGCAGGCTTCCCACTGAGCAAGGAGCCCAATGTGGGCCTCGATCCTGGGATCCTGGGATCATGACCTGAGCCAAAGGCAGACACTTAACTGACTGAGCCACCAAGGCACCCCTAAATAAAAATCTTAAAAAAAAAAAAGAACCTCAGTCTATATAGTGAGATATTACTCAGCCACGAAAAAGGGTGGGTGAAAGCTTGCCATTTGTGACAACACAGATGGACCTAGAGGGTGTTAAGTTAAATGAAATAAGTCAGACAGAAAAAGACAAACACTGTATGGTTTCACTAGTATGTGAAATCTAAGAACAAATCAATAAATTCAAAGCAAAAAAAAAAAAAAAAAAAAAAGCAAAGGAAAAAAAAGAAAGAACTGTAGTCCAGGTTGCTATAGGCCACACGGGTTTTCAAAAGCCTCATCTCAGGGACTCCTGGCTGGCTCAGTCCCTGGAGCACGAGACTCTTGATTTCGGGTTCATGAGTTCGAGCTCCACATTGGATATATGGATTACTTTAGAAGAATGAAATGATAAGCACTTAAAAAAAAAACAAACCAAAACTCCAAAAGCCTCATCTCTATTCTCTCCATACATTTCAGCAGTATGATATTTTTTTCCTTTTTCAAAACTTTTATTTGCATATTATATACATATAAAAAGTCAAATCACGAGCATGCTGGGTTATATTTTCCATAAATGAACACTCCTATCTCACCAGCTGGCAGGCCAGGAAACAGGATATGACCGCACCCCTGAGCTGCCCTTGGACCCCCTTCAGTCACCACCCCACTCAAGACTTCTTAGCACCGTAGCTTAGTTTTCCCTGTTTTGGTAATTTATTTAAAGAAAATCTTACAGTCCTCTTCAGCACATCTTTTCTCTCTCCACATACTGCCACCGCGCAGTGCTCTGTGGCCTCCAGTGTGAGAGAAGGCCATAGAAATTATCTTTTTTCTTACACGAGAGTGATCTGCTCCTGTTTTACTAGGCGTGGGAGTGTGGTCTGCACCTTCTGAAATTTCTTGCCTAGTGGCATGGGTAAGTGAAGGGCAGCATGCTTTGTGGTCATTTCTGTGGCGGTGGGCTCTCCGGAACTCCTGTCCTGCAGGGTCCCGAGCCTTGCCCAGTTCCTCCACTGCAGAGGAAGGAGCTGGCCACAGCTGGGTGCACCGCGCGGCCTGGCACCTCTGAGTCCCGGCGACCTCCTGTGGCCTGGAGTCCCGCTCTTTGGAAACCCGACGGCCCTTCAGCCTCCGGAGCCCCAAACCCAGCCTTCGGTGGGGCTCAAGCCTCCTTCCAAATGTAGGGAAGTCATTCACCCGTCCCTGGGCTCCTTCCTCTTCCTCTGGTTTCTTGTCAGGCCCAACCCTCCCTATCCTTTCCGTTCTTTGAAAGTTCCTCTTAATCCACCTGCTGTAGATTCCCAGCTCTGCTTGGAGCGGGAAGCTGGGATCTATTACCCTCTCCCTCGAAGCCGGTCCTGCCGTCCCCCCTCCCTCACCCCCCGCCCCCCACCCCCGCTGCGGGATTGCGGCGGCGGGAACAGAGCGCTCGGACGCCCAGAGCCAGAAACGCTGGCCTCCGCCAGGCGCGACCGTCGGGGCTCCCCCAGCGCCCTCGCTCCCATTTCCGACACCAAGACGCCAGTCGAATTAGAGGGGGAAAACTCTGCTTTATTTTATTTCATGATTTCTCGTGGTGTTGCACCACCGTCGGGGCCATCCGGCTCAGCGCTGGGAGAAGGCGGCCTCGGGGTCGCAGGCGGGGTCGGCGTGGCAGCCGTCTGGAAGGAGAGGCGCCGAGTCAGGGCCCGTCCCGCCGGCTCCCATCCCCGGGTCCTCGGTTCCCGGCCCCCTCCAGGTCCCGGGTCTCCGCTCCCCGGCCCCGGCCCGCGCTCACCCGGGCTGCAGCAGATGCCAGCGGCGGCGCAGCGACCACTGCTCCCGCACAGCTGATGGCCCGACTGGCAGGGCGACGGCAGGTAGTTCTCCTCCTGGCAGCGCAGCGCCTCGGCGGTGCCCACGAAGCAGCCCAGCTCGTCGCCGCAGCAGATGCTGGGCCCGAAGCAGCGCCCTTTGCCCCCGGGGCCGCAGGGGAGACACTGGCGGGAGGGCAGGGGCCGGTGAGCGCGGGCTGAGCGAGGTCGGGGGCCGCGGTCGCGGGAAGGGGACGCAGGTCCCCTAAAGTCCCCGGACCCCGGGGCGGGCAGGGGCTGCGGGACGCGGCCCGGGCTCACCTGGCGCACATCGAGGTCCAGCGCGGCCCTCTTGCCGCCCAGGGGGCAGTTCTGGATGTAGCAGGCGGAGGTCAGGGCGAGGAGGCCGAGCAGGCAGCAGGCGAGGCCGGGACCAGCCATGGTGCGGGCGCGCTGGGTCGGGGGCGGCTGCTGTGGCGGTGGCTCGGGGACCCGCCTTTTAATGGCCCTGGCCGCGCGGGTGGAGCGCTGGCTAAGAGGGCCGCCGCATGGCTGGTCACAGCTGGTCGCTGCGGGTCAGGCCCTGGGCGCCCGGCGCGCCCCCTCATTTGCAGGGGCCTGGCCAGGTCACGGTCACCGCAGCGGCTGATGGACTGGGGGCAGGGGAGGTAGAAGGCAAGGCCGTGCGGGGGGGCGGGTGGCCTGGGCCCCCTGGGGTGGGACAGGGAGCATGTGGGTCTGCGGCCCAAGCAGAACTATGTAGCTGGATTCCCAGTATGTGGGGGAAGGATTTCAGAGCAGACACTTGGACCCCTCCAGGCTGGAAGAGGGTGGGCAGGACTCCCCATCTCTCCTTCTTGGCTGGTTGCGCAGCAGTCTTGTCTCTTTTGTTAGGGAGCTTCCTCTGCTCGAACCCCAGTTTCCTGGGACCCACCTTCCACGCTCATACCCACACCCACACCCCTGCACCTGGAACTGGAATAGGGAAAGATCTTTATTTTCTTTAACCTGTAACTGAAATGTAACCTTTTGCTTCAATTATGGGGTGGTCAACTAGCCACAGTGGAATTTGCAACCCTTGTGGCTTTGTCACACATCAAATGACAGATATTCTGCCATCACAATACAGCTATGGCAAGTGTCTCTAAATATTGCTAGATGCATCACTTTGAAGTTATGGAGTTAATGACAGTTCATTCCCAGCTCTGCCACCAGATCTTAGCTAATGCTTTATTTATTTATTATTTATTTATTTATTTAAAAATATTTTTAAGACTTTATTTATTTGACAGAGAGAGAGACAGCGAGAGAGGGAACACAAGCAGCGGGAGTGGGACAGGGAGAAGCAGCCTCCCCGCCTGAGCAGTGAGCCGGATGCAGGACTTGATTCCAAGCGCCTGGGATCATGATCTGTACGCAAGGCAGAAACTTAACCATCTGAGCCGCCCAAGTGCCCTTGTATCTAAGGTTTTAAGTAAAGAAGCATATTTAAATATATCACAGATTTGTTTTAACATTTTGATTCCTGAATATAAATACACCTGGTTTCTTTTGTAATTTTTTTTTAAAGATTTTATTTATTTATTTGACAGACAGAGATCACAAGCAGGCAGAGAGGCAGGCAGAGAGAGAGGAGGAAGCAGGCTCCCCGCTGAGCCGAGAGCCCGATGCGGGGCTCGATCCCAGGACCCTGAGATCATGACCTGAGCTGAAGGCAGCGGCTTAACCCACTGAGCCACCCAGGCGCCCCATCTTTAATGTATCTTAAAATGAAAATAATTACAAATAAAAGAAAGAGTGCCTCAGTGGAGGGGATGTTAGTCAATGTCATGAACAGGGAGAAGCTCAGCACCAATCATCCTTCAAGAAGGGACCTGCCAGTGGCTCAGTCCCACTCTTGGTTTCTCCTCAGGTCATGATCTCAGGGTCATGAGTTTGAGCCTCACATTGGGTGTAGAGATTACTTAAATAAATAAATAAATCCTTAAAAAAAAAAAAGGGACTTACTCCCAGCAGGAAGACTTTGGCTGGCAACCAGCCAGGGTCTTCCTCAGTGGCAGAGAGTAGCCTGGCCCAAGATCACACCCTTCCCAGGTGGCTGACCTCCAATACCGATCTGGCCCCATGGTGGGCAACTGTGAAGGACTGTTTCAGCTCTGAGCTCCGCACAGGCCAACTGAGGCCCCCATGGAAGTTTTCCCTCTACCCAATTCTGTATCCACCCCTTCCCTTCCACAGCTGTGGGTCCCCAGGGCCCTTGGTAATAAGTCCTGCAGGTTAAACCCCATCTCCAGGGTGCTCCCCAGGGGTGGGGGGAGCCCACCTTGCAATAGCACAGAAGAAAGGAAGCCAGTGTCATAAGGAAGAGACTCAGCACAGCCAGGCCCTAGAAGTTGCCCTCGGGGAAGAGGAGACTGGCATGGCCCCAGCCACTGCAGCCCTCTTGTTGACCCTCCTCCAGGAGGATGCTGTGGCTGCTGGGGCTGGACAGGTCACAGGGCCTGGCTGACCCTGAGCCACTCACGTGAGCTGCCTAGCATGGAGGGGCTGCTCAGGCTGACCTGATTACCCGTCAGAGAGTTGTCTTATTTCTCACCCAAATCAGCTCATTGGCATTGCTGGACTAGAAGGCCAAGGCCTTGACCCTAGAGGCAGCCCCAGAAAGGCCTCCTTCCTGTCCTTGGGACACCCTGACCTCACCCAAGTTAATACATGCACATAAAATTTCCTTAGCATAATGGCCCCTGCAGGGCTGGCGCTCCGACAGCTGTCCGAGGACTGCTCATCTTAAGATGCACAGGGTCCGGGGACAGATGCTTGCGATGCCAGTGAACCAGACAGACACAAGATCCTGCTCGCAACAGCTTATATTCTAGTAGAGTGTGGGGAGGCATCAAACAGTAAACCTAGCTCAGTAGGTTAGGAGGCAGTCAGGGCAATGGAGAAGAGCAGAGGCATGTTGTAATTTTTTTCTAAGGGTGCTCAGTGCAGGCCTCTGTAAAGGGGACAGCCGATGCTTGAAGGACCTAGGAAAGAGACAAGATGGATATCTGAAAGGCAGATTTGTTTTCTGCTGCTACATAACAAATCACCACAAGTTTGGCAGCTTAAAACAGCACCCACTTACTACTCCACAGTTTCTGTGGGTCTGGGCATAGCTTAGCTGGGTCCTCTACTCACAGTCTCAACAGGGGTCAGGTCCAGATGTCAGCCAGACTGAATTCCATCCAGTAGCCTGGAAGATTGTTGGCAGAATTCAATCCCTTGCAGCAGTAGAACTCATGGCTGGCTTCTTCAAGGCCAGCACCAGAGGGAGAGAGACACTCTGGGGCTTCAAGTATCTGAGTAGATGGAAGCCTCTTTTAAAGGGTCACCTGATTAGGCCAGGCCCACCTGGACCAGCATTTTTGCTATTGTTCTTTTTCTTTCTTTTTTAAAAATTACCATATAATGTATTATTTGCCCCAGGTGTACAGGTCTGTGAATCGTCAGGCTTACACATTTCACAGCACTCACCATAGCACATACCCTCCCCAATGTCCGTAACCCAACCACCCTCTCCATACCCCTCTCCTCCCGGCAACCCTCAGTTTGTTTTGTGAGATTAAGATTCTCTTATAGTTTGTCTCCCTCCTGATCCCCTCTTGTTTCATTTTTTCTTTCCCTCCCCCCTGAGCCCCCCACTTTGCCTCTCAAATTCCTCATATCGGGGAGATCATATGATAATTGTCTTTCTCTGATTGACTTATTTCGCTCAGCATAATACCCTCTAGTTCCATCCACGTCGTTGCAAATGGCAAGATTTCATTTCTTTTGGTGACCGCATAGTATTCTATTATATATATATATGTATATCTCACATCTTCTTTATTCATTCATCTGTTGATGGACATCTAGGTTCTTTCCATAGTTTGGCTATTGTGGACCTTGCTGCTATAAACATTTGGGTGCACGTGCCCCTTCGGATCACTACATTTGTATCTTTAGGGTAAATACCCAGTAGTGCCTTTGCTGGGTCATAGGGTAGCTCTATTTTCAACTTTTTGAGGAACTTCCATACTGTTTTCCAGAGTGGCTGCACCAGCTTGCATTCCTTCCAACAGTGTAGGAGGGTTCCCCTTTCTCCACATCCTTGCCAGCAACTGTTGTTTCCTGACTTGTTAATTTTAGCCATTCTGATTGGTGTGAGGTGGTATCTCATTGTGGTTTTGATTTGTATTTCCCTGATGCCAAGTGAGGTGGAGCACTTTTTCATGTGTCTGTTGGCCATCTGGATGTCTTCTTTGCAGAAATGTCTGTTCATGTCCTCTGCCCATTTCTTGATTGGATTATTTGTTCTTTGGGTGTTGAGTTTGATAAGTTCTTTATAGATTTTGGATACTAGCCCTTTATCTGATATGTAGTTTGCAAATATCTTCTCCCATTCTGTCAGTTGTCATTTGGTTTTGTTGACTGTTTCCTTTGCTGTGCAAAAGTTTTTGATCTTGATGAAGTCCCAATAGTTCATTTTGCCCTTGCTTCCCTTGCCTTTGGCAATGTTCCTAGGAAGAAGTTGCTGTGGCTGAGGTTGAAAAGGTTGCTGCCTGTGTTCTCCTCAAGGATTTTGATGGATTCCTTTCTCACATTGAGGTCTTTCATCCATTTGGTGTCTATTTTTGTGTGTGGTATAAGATGGTCCAATTTCATTCTTCTGCATGTGGCTGTCCAATTTTCCCAACACCATTTGTTGAAAAGACTGTCTTTTTTCCATTGGACATTCTTTCCTGCTTTGTCAAAGATTAGTTGACCATAGAGTTGAGGGTCTATTTCTAGGCTCTCTATTCTGTTCCATTGATCTATATGTCTGTTTTTGTGCCAGCCATGCTGTCTTGATGATGACAGCTTTGTTTTTTTTTTTTTTTTAAAGATTTTTTTTTATTTGTTTATTTGACAGAGAGAGATCACAAGTAGACAGAGAGGCAGGCAGAGAGAGAGAGAGGGAAGCAGGCTCCCCGCTGAGCAGAGAGCCCGATGCGGGACTCGATCCCAGGACCCCGAGATCATGACCTGAGCCGAAGGCAGCGGCCTAACCCACTGAGCCACCCAGGTGCCCCGATGATGACAGCTTTGTAATAGAGCTTGAAGTCTGGAATTGTGACGCCACCAACTTTGGGTTTCTTTTTCAACATTCCGCTGGCTATTTGAGGTCTTTTCTGGTTCCATGTAAATTTTAGGATTATTTGTTCCACTTCTTCGAAAAAAAATTGATGGTATTTTGATAGGGATTGCATTAAACATGTAGATAGCTTTAGGTAGCATAGACATTTTCACAGTATTTGTTCTTCCAATCCATGAGCATGGGACATTTTTCCATTTCTTTGTGTCTTCCTCAGTTTCTTTCATGAGTACTTTATAGTTTTCTGAGTACACATTCTTTGCCTCTTTGGTTAGATTTATTCCTGGGTATCTTATGGTTTTGGGTGCAATTGTAAATGGGATTGACTCATTGATTTCTCTTTCCTCTGTCTTGTTGTTGGTGTATAGAGATGCAACAGATTTCTGTACATTGATTTTATATCCTGACACTTTACTGAATTCCTGTACAAGTTCTAGCAGATTTGGGGTGGAG